TCGCTCGGGTAGCCAATCACAGCGCAGAATTTGGTTCGTTTTGCCCGCTAACTGAGCTAGCCATGTAATAATATTTGGTCTACACAATATAGCCCAACATTAAAACGTGCAGTAACAGATCTTAATGTCTTCGTCATAGCGCGATCGAAATTTGGCTAGTAATTAGTTTTAATAGAACCCATAAGAGACAAAGAGGATATATATTGCAATGTGGATGGTGCTGTAGTTCCACTGGCGGCATAAATGAGCTGTTATATGATTAACAGTAAACTTACAGTTTTTAACAAGATTCCCACATCTTTAATCTGTTTTGCATTCAACATCAGTCGCCTGATCAATCGGATTAGTTATGTCCAGGTAGATTTTAGTTTGGGTTCGAGCAGTGTTTGTTGTTAAAATCACCTCCTACATGTACTACGAAAGTAGCCTTCTTGTTTCACACTTTCCACCAATAATGGTAAGTACGATTAATTTAAATAATATTTGTAATTCTTGTAATCCTAATTAAACCTAACGCTAATGGCTTACTTTCCTAACCCTACCGCCAATTGTTCTCAGTTACCCCAAAACGTAGGACCACTGAATGAGTTAAAAAATTGCTGTAGCCTTCCAGAAATGGATAAAATATCTTTTTAATTTCTCGCGTTGTTTTGTGTAGGACAGCTGTTGTTCAGGATGGCGGCACGACTTGCGTGATCTACGAAAACTCTTAGAATTGAAAGTACTTTTGGCTTTGGCACGACATATTGTCTACCTTGACATTTATCCTGTTAGTTTTACGAAATAGTTTCTTAACTTTTTTAATCATGCAATTAGTTACTTTCCCTTTAATTTGGATTGTAGTATTTATGTTGTTAATCCTTTCACGAACTGATGTCAAACAAGGCGTTGTTTTTTTGTTCACAGTTTGTTCATGGCGTAATCGAACGTTTGTAGGATCATTATTTCGTTGTACGTTCATTTAGATTTCTTGTTATTTCTCTCTGCTACAAGACTACCAAGCGAATTGCTGTGGATAATAGTATTGATTAATGTTTTGCAAAACTGTTGACGATTGAGTGTAAGGAGCGCTGGAGCCGGTGGACAATTGGTTGGCAACCTGAACAATGTGGACGCCAGATGTGAAAACCATTAGTTGGATTAGAATTTAAAGAGTAAAGTGCAATTAAGATCTTAAATTTAATCATTTAGCAGTGATTGTCCAACCAAGAACTGTTTTGACGAAAGAAGAAGCGGAAAGATGGAGAAAAAAAGAAATCATTGAAAAGAAATTAAGAGAAGAAAACTTTGAGGTTGTTAATTACAGTGTTTAGCCTCGATAATTTAGCGTTGCACTGTTATTTCTGCTCCCGATCATTCATTGCCTGACTTTTTCAAAGTTATTTTAACCTGACCTGTTAAAATCCAGCTGAAAACAATACATTCTTCGAGAAACATAGTATTCTGATAATGGACCTATGCTACCAGTTAAAAGGGTTGCAATAAAATAAGCTCCTGATAGACTCGAAGAACAGTGCACCTCCAGACTCGCAAAGATGCGCTTGGGAATGTGTCTTCCACCTTCAC